TGCAGCAGCAGCAGCAGCAACAGGGTCTGGCTCCTTTATGGTTCTTAGGGGTCTCGTAGGAAGTTCCAGTAACTACTGCCTTCACCACACATCATGGGCAGAGAAAATACACCAGCTTTATGTACAAGCCCCCCTTTTACCTTCTGTGGAGGGAGAGAAAAGGCAGGAATTCATATGACATCACGGAATTCCTCTTATCTATCGGTGCAATGGCTGCAATTTTCTTACCGAAACATTTGGTGGAAGGTAGAAGAAAAAAATACATATATATAAACACCATTGAGAGAAAAGGCAGACTTGATTTATTTTTGTACCAAATCACTAGGTGCCTGTTATTGGTTAAATTACATCCCCCGAAGTATGTGTTGGGATACTAACCCCTATAACTGCTGTCATGAATTGAATTGTATCCCCTAAAATATCTGTCAACTTAGCTAGGTCATGATTCCCGGTATTGTGTGATTGTCCACCATTTTGTCATCTGATGCGATTTTCCCATGTGTTGTAAATCCTGTCTCTATGATGTTGATGAGATGGGATTAGCGGCAGTTACACAGACTCAATCTGTAAGATTAGACTGTATCTTAAGCCAGTCTTTTGAGATATAAAATAGGGAAGCGAGCAGAGAGACATGGGGACCTCATACCACCAAGAAACAGAGTCAGGAGAAGAGCGCGTCCTTTGGACCCGGGGTCCCTGCGCTGAGAAGCTCCTCAACCAGAGGAAGATGATGACAAGGACCTTCCCCCAGAGCTGACAGAGACAAAGCCTTCCCCTGGAGCCTGCACCCTGAATTTGGACTTGTAGCCTACTAGACTGAAAGAATTTCTCCCTGTTAAAGCCATCTGCTTGGGGTATTTCTGTTACAGAGGCACTAAATGACTAAGACGCTGTCCATGTAACTCCATCTGGGAACAGGGTTCTGTTATGGTAATGAAGCCGTGCACCTCACTACTTCTGCGCTACAAGGAGCAGCGTAGACAGACTAGCAAGCACACACAAGGGGAAGACAGACCATCTGCTCGCGGTGGAGGCAGATGTATCCACAAGCCCAGGAGCACCAAGGACTGCCGGCTACTAGAAGCTGAAACAGACAAAGAAGGACCTCCCCCCAGAGCCACACTGTGAATTCAGACTTCTAGCCTAATCTGAGAAAGTGAATTTCTGTTCTTTAAAGCCACCCACTGGTGCTATTTCTGTTATAGCAGCACTAGGAGACTAAGGCGGTGCCCAACGAAGCCTCT